TTAATACCTCCAACTTGGCCCCCAATGTCCAGTTATCATCGGCTGGAGAAAAAAACTCTCTCAAAAACAGTTTTCAAAGGGAAGAAATTCAGTCCGACCGCAAAGTACATATAAATTAGAAATAAAAACCAACACAAACCACGCTGCAGCAATTAACGAGACAGGGCAGGATAAGGAATAGCAGAATTCAAAAGATAACGAAACACATGTTTGGGAGGACGCCAGAACCCAGATAAGACTTGACAAACAAAGATAATGCACACTTTGCTTCCAGCAAGGACTGTGTGCAAACACCCTCTTTATCCTGTTTTCCCAGCTGCAGCTAATGAAGGGAATCAGGGCCTTTTTCTCCTCTGTAACCCATGTTGCTCCCTTATCCTTTCCTCCCTGCGTGCCCTAGAATGAAGAGGCGGTGGGTCTGGGTCTTCCTCTGAATGCCCAGCCGGACTGGGCCCATCCCCAGATTCCTCCACAGCCACCGGAGTCACACTCCCACTCCCTGTCAGCTGATCGACCTCCCCCTCAAAATCAGACTCCAACAGGGGAATGACATGCCCTCTCATCAGACCTAAATGAATCCACATGGGAGAACCATAAAAATGCCTTGCAGTGTTGAAATGGGTTAAAACGCGGCACTGCCCTTGTTTCCCATAGGAGGTCCTATGAGTCTAAATAAACTTTTGCTACCAGTTCTGCCTCCCCCCACAAGAAACTACATACATGCTTGAATTTGATTGATCTTCAGGAATGCTAAACCTGCAGGCTGAAGAGTTGATCCCAGCAGGAAAGATAATATACCAAGAAACGGAGCAAAGCAGCTATTTGAAGAGAATGTGTCTTCTTAAATACCAGAAAAGTTCCACTCAGGAGAAAAACTGCATAAAAGAGTAGAACATGGAAAGAGTTGTGATTTTTTTTTCCCTCTTAAGTCTTCAAAAACAAATTGTAAACCCCTCTCCAGATTGTTAGACCTATCTTGAATATTTTTCTTGATGTAATCTGGGACTGTTGTATCAGAGGGCGATGAGGATTATATGGTTGGTCAGGGTTCAAGTCCCATGAAAATAGTCTGGGGCCGATGGGAATGTTTAGCCTTGTAAAAAAAGCAACCAAGAAGGATCTAATATCTCTGTCAAAGGATCTGGTGCGATGTCCTATAGAAGGAAGGAAAGGTTTGTCCTGCAGTGCAGAATACACATGGCAGAATCAGGATTACTGTAACATAAATATTATGATAGTGACGAAACTCTAGAACACTCAAAAACTACCTCTGCCAACCCCCCCTCCTTTAATGAATACAGGAAAACACTTCCTCCTCTCCACAAATCCCCATTTTATACAACTTTGTACAAATGTACTTGTCCTTCAATTTCACAATAAAATATTTTGAGTTTTCTTTTCTAAAGACTGTGGGGTTGTACTTGCGTAGCAACTGTTTGAATTTACGACGAACCATCCCCCAAAAGATAATTATGAACCAGTTCTGGATATGGAATGGCGTCCTACACCAATCAGAATAAAGCTGGGAAAGACCTTGGAGATCTTCTAATCTAGTCCAATCAGAGGTGGTATTCAGCCATTTCTGACAGGTTCTAAAGAACCGATAGCGGACATTTTGACCAGCAAATACCACCTTTTGACTGGCCCCACTCCCATCTATTCTCCGTCTCCTGAGTCCCAGCTGATTGGGTCTTCTTTTGTTGCCCTGCACAGGAAAACGGAGATGGAAAGCAGGTTAGTGGAGTGGGGAAGGAATGGGGATATTGCAATATATCCCTCCCCTGTCACGCCCACCAAGCTACGCCCATGCCCACCAAGCCACGCCCACACAACTGGTAGTAAAAAAAATTGAATACCACCACTGGTCCAACCCCCCGCTCAAACGGGAAACCCCGTGATGGGGAACCTATGGCATGCGTGCCAGAAGTAACGCACAGAGCCATCTCTGCCGGCACATGAACCGTCGCCCCAGCTCATTTCCACTGCGCATACGCATGCACCTCCTGCCAGCCAGCTGATTTTCGAATATCTGCTGCGTGGGGGGTGGGGCACATGCAGGAGATACATGTGCATACACAGGGGGAGCACGGGGTCAAGTGCATTTGCAGGGGGTGAGGGAAGCATGGGGGGTCACGAGCATGCTCAGTGGGGCAGGGGAGCGTGGGGTGGTCATGCATGCATTTTATGGGTGCAGGCACAGGCCCGTATGTGCATACTTTTGTCACACGGTGACAAAAAGGTTAGCCATCACTGCCTGATACCATAAGAAGATGAGACTAACCTACCACACCAAAGAAAGAAAGGAAAAACGATTAAAGATACATTTACTATTTTAAAGTTTAGAAAGTTTGCACATTAAATTCAAAGTCACTTGGAGCTGGAAACTCGGGCCGAAGGAGCCCCTTGGTTCCTCCAGACACCCCTCCTGATCTGCTCCTGGTCACTGAGCGTCCTTCAAGCAAAGGGATCCCATGCAATGAAACCTACTTAAAAAAAACATTGCAACCTCTATTTTTGAATGGTGTTGGGTAAATGAACAATCTTGAAATTCTTTGGTGTCTTCCGATCCCAGCAAAATCAGGATCATTCATTTGCATAGCTCAGGGGTCGGCAACCTTAAGCATTCAAAAGAGCCACAAAGGTTCTAACTGGAAGCCCCTCCCCCATTCAATTCTGGAGCCGACCGGAAATCCGGTTACCCCACCATAGAGTCTCCTCCTAGCATGGCATCCTTTTTCCTTTACCTATCCTAACCAAAAAGCCCGATCAATCGTGGAGCCAACCAGTGACCGGGAGCCGCAGCAGAAGGATGAAAGAGCCACATGCGGCTCCAGAGCTGCGGGTTGCTGACCCCTGGCATAGCTAATAGGTGACTTTAGCTGCTACAAATAATGTTCTCTCTATTTGAAGGAATTGTGGAAAAACATGAAGGAGCCCTGGGAGAGAAATGAACAAACAGGAAAGATCTCCCACGTGTTGGGAAGAGAGCTTTTCATTGCCTTCTCCCAACATTTACAGAAATACTGACAGGCCCTGGGCAACTGACTCAGGTGGTTCCATGTTCATAAGATACAATTTATGGAGGGTTTTGTTTTTTGCTGGGAACCGGACCTTTTCAAGTTTTCTGGCAAAAAACGCCCATAGGAATACTTTTACTTTTTTTAAATGACTGTGGCCTGTGCTTTACAAATGCTGCAAAAAAAGGGTCATAAAATCAAGTTGCTCATGTGGGTACCTCAATTTATGACGGTTACAACCTATGTGTCAAGATTCCAGCAGTTACCCCCCAATTAAATCATGAGTCTCAAGCCAAACTTCCAAAACTTCAAAAGGAATTATTAGGAGTTAACATGTCCGGCACTGCCTGGGTGTAACCGACTCTGAGACACATAATTCATTGTCACACTTGACTCTGGTTTTTCCCCCAGCCCCCTGGGTGTATTGTAACTCATATTCTCCAATGGGACACATTCATAGCCAAGAGTCATCAATCATGCTTTCCAGTTAGAATTTTGCCTAGCAAAAATTTCAATCACCTAGTTACTATCTTTGAAAACTATTTATGGAATGCACTGTTGGTTTCCAAGCTGCTGAACTGCTCCCCTCCCTTTCTGCTGGCAACTCTAAAACAACCATTGAAGTATTTTACGAGTTGACACTATGCTTACGATTAAAATTCCAGCCTCCATTATGGTCATAAGTTGAGGACTATCTCTACTTTCTCATGCTGCAGAAATTGTAAACAAACTTCCCTCTCTTTTTATTTCGCATTTCTAGATAGAGACCAGTTGCTTCGAGTTAGTGTTGTTTTTTCCTCAAGATATGTTAAAGTTGGACCATGGAATGTAGAAAAAAATGAACCTTAAGAACTTACACACACAAACTGAAAAGGAAACACACTGAATTTGGGAAAAATTGGGTCAGGAAGGGAAAATTCAAGTCCTGGAGTGCCATTTGAAGAATGAGACTATTCAAAACAAGAAATAAACCTTAGCAACTTGCACAGACAAAGTGATGAGAGAAGGCACTGAATTTGGGAAACTGAATTGGGTCAGGAAGAGCAAATTCAAATCCTGGACTATGCAAAGTGCCATTCGTAGAATAAGCACCATTCTAAATAATGTGGCCATATTATTCAGAAAGGATCCTGCTGACTGTTGCCTGCAATTCATCAAATAATGGGTTTATTTGCCATCATTTCCCATCCAGTCAAAGCCATGCAGTTACAGGCTTATGTACCAGAGACAAATTCCTTGTGTGTCCAATCACACTTGGCTAACAAATAATATTCTATTCTATTCTATTCTATTCTATTCTATTCTATTCTATTCTATTCTATTCTATTCCTATTTCTATTCCTTATTCTATTCTATTCCTATCCTATCCTATCCTTCTTCATTCCATTCCATTCCATTCCATATTTTCTTTTCTTTTCTATTCCATTCCATTCCTATTCCCTACTCTATTCTATTCCTATTCCTTATTTTGTTCTGTCCTATCCTATCCTATCTTATCCTATCCCTATTCCTTAATGTGTTCTATTCTGTTCGATTCGATTCTATTCCATTTCTATTCTATTCCATTCTATCCTATTCCTATTCCTTTTCCTATTCTTAATTCTGTTCTATTCAATTCTATTCCTATTCCTTATTCTGTTCTGTCCTATCCTATCCCTATTCCTTAATGTGTTCTGTTCTGTTCGATTCGATCCTATCCTATTCCTATTCCTTATTCTATTCTATTTATTCTAAATTCTATTCTATTCTACTCTACTCTTCTATTCTTACTCTACTCTACTCTTTCCTATTCCTATTCCATTCCATTCCTATCTCTATTTCTAATTTCAAATCCATTCCTTATTTTCCATTCTGTTCCCTTCAACTCCGCACCACTCCATCCACTCCAGTCTATTAACCATACCAAAAAGACGGGGAATTGCTCCCTACGCGGATTGGAGTCCTCTCCCAATCGGTGGAGGCTCCTCCCTAAGGCCGCTGGGGGAATCTTCTCCAATTCTTGGCAAGATCTCCCCCAAGCGGAACCAGATCCGCCCGCGGGCTTTTGCAAAACTCGAGACCTGGGAAAGAAGCACGTGGCGTGGCGTGGCGTGGAAGGCGGAGCGAAGGGCCGGGAACGGATTGCAGCTGCGCTTCCACCCCCACACATCCAAAGCGGGAGGAAAGCGCGATCCCGCTGACCTGGGAAGCGAAGGGAATCCGGAGCGGAAGAGCTGAGCCTCCGGGCAGGAGAGGAGCGGACTAGGCCCGACAGGTAAGCCCGATATTTTTGCGGAAGGGGTGGGGAGCAGCGCCGGGCCTTCCTGCCTCTGAATCCGAGCGGGAGGGCGGGGAGGAGAACTGCAAGCTTCCCACTCAGTCCCAGGGTCCTTTTTTCCTCGCCCAGATTATTCCACGGGAGAAGAGAGGGAATCCCAGGGGAATTTGCATCTCCAACTGTGGATATAAGAGGGTCCAATTTTGGAGAACACAAATGCAAGCTGTGAGAATAAAACAGGCTCTTTTTTCCCCTCCACTTTCAGTCCCAGAGTTCTGGCTCCCCATCCACAGGAGGAAGAGGGGAACTTGGCAGATTGTAACAATAGAAGAGACTTCGGTTTCCCTCCATTTTCAGTCCCACAATCCTCTTTCCCCGCCTGGATTATTCCACGGGAGGAAGTGGGAATCCCAACCGAATTTGCATCTCCAACCATGGATATAACAGGGTCCAACTTTGGAGACACCAATGCAGGTTGTAGCAATAGAAGAGACTTTGGTTCCCCTCCCGTTGGAAGGAAAAATCCACCTGGTTCAGTTCCAAGCTGGGAGAAAAGACGCTGGAAATAAAATGGAGGTTGAGGGGAGAGTTACTTTAATGATGGGTGGAACCAACAACAGTTCTGGGTCAGCCGAACAATTAGCTAAAGATGAGTGCCAGGATTTGACAGAGGTCCTGAAATGCTGCTTGCGGAGAAGGCGAGGGGGTTGTGCACTGTGTGAAAGGCCCCTAGGAAATTGTGCTATGTAGGGAGCTATTTATTCTTCCTGCTAACGGGTTAATGCTAAATGGTCATATCCTGTTCTTAGAATTGGGGTGGAGGAGAATGTAAACATTTAATCCCACATCACTGGAGGTGAAGAAGGTCTTTTATTTCTGAATAGGCTGGCCCCATCTTTCTCAATGGGCACAAAAGATCTTCTGTGGGCTTTTCAGTCCCACAGTTTTCTGTCCAGATTATTCCACAGGAGGGAGAGGGACTCCCGAGGGAATCTGCGTCTCCAACTCCGTTAACATGGGAGCCCACAAATGCAAGTTGTAACGATAGAAGAGACTTTGGTTTCCCTCCATTTTCCGTCCCAGATTTCTCTTTTCCCTGCCCAGATTATTCCCCGTGGAAGTCAATGGTGTTTTGGATCTGCCCCCAACCTCCCCCTCCCCAAGGAGAAATCCACAAGGAGGCCCTGAGGGAATCTAACCAGCATGGCCTGCAAAGCTAAATTTTGGGTGGCTATTACAGAGATTTGGAGCTATATTTCTGGGCTTCTTGGAGGTAAGAGAGCTGCTGGGAAAAGAGGGGTTCCTTGTTTCCTATTTGGAAAACCTGGGTGTCTTTTTTCCTCCTACAATCAGAGACCAAAAGGCAGCCCTGAAAATATCAGAATCTGATCAGAAATGGGGGTAGTTTAACTAGAGAGGCTGGGTAGCCCCTTTGGCTGCTAGATCACGTTGGCAGTGATGGTGGATTGCTGATTTTTTTTCCTTCCCTCCATCCATCCGGGATCTCTCCTGTATGAAATATATAATTTCATTTGTATCACTTGTGGCTGCATTCGCTTTCTCTCCGTAGATGCTGTGACATGCTAAACTTGGTGAAAACATCTGGATCCACAGCATCCTACTGAGCCTCCAAACTGGATACCTACGGAGCTCCCAACTGCTCGCCTCATGCAGCACCTGGGACTGTGAGCTTTCTCTGCAGTCTCGTATTGCCATATATTCAACCCTCTGCCATGAAGAAGACCTGCGTGCCGGCAATTAACCCCCCCCAAATGGCCCAGCGGAAAGTGGACATTGAAAATAGGTGCTTTCAAAAGAGGTGGGAGGCAGAGTACCTGTTTGCTGACATTGAAAATAGGGCGGTGTGCCTTGTTTGCAGAGATACGGTGGCTGTCTTTAAGGAATATAACATTAGACGGCACTATGAGGCCAAACATCAGGACAAGTACAGACACCTGGACATGGAGCAGAAGCTGAAGAAAGCGGAAGAGTTGAAGAAGAACCTGATATCCTTCAGAAAAGCAAAGTCACAAAGCAAAGCTGCTGTGAAAGCTAGTTATATCGTGGCAGAAGAGATAGCTAAATCAGCCTGGCCCTTTACCGAGGGCGAGTTTTTGAAGCGCTGCCTGCTTCAAGTGTGTGAAATCTTGTGCCCAGACCAAAAGGAAGCGTTTTTGAACGTAAGCCTAAGCAGAAATACTGTTGCCAGTCGGATAGGTGAGCTCGCCGGGGTTTTACACGGACAGTTGGTTGAAAAGGGAAAAGATTTCATTGCCTATTCCCTTGCTGTGGACGAGAGCATTGACATCTCTGGCATGGCTCAGCTGACAATCTTCATCCGCGGAGTAGACGCAGCTTTATGCATTACAGAGGAACTTTTGGAGATGAAATCAATACATGGCACTCCCACGGGTAAGGACCTATTTGAAGCAGTATCGAAATGCGTAAATGACATGAAACTGCCCTGGGATAAACTTACGGGACTGACAACGGATGGAACACCTTCAATGTGCGGGGAAGAGAGTGGGTTAGTGGAAAGACTGCGAGAGAAGATGAAGAGCGAGAATTGCACAGGTGTGCTGACGGCGTATCACTGCCTCATGCACAAGGAAACACTGTGCGGCAAAACCCTGAAGATGGAACATGTAATGAGCACTGTCACACAGACAATTAACTTCATAAGAAGAGCCAAGGGTTTAAATCACTGTCAATTTAAGTCTTTCCTTGAGGAAATACATTCTGAACTTGGTGATCTGCCCTACCACGCAGAGGTGAGTTGGCCAAGTCAAGAAAAAGTGCTCAATGGATTTTTTGAGCTGCGTGTGGAAATTTGTCAGTTCGTTGAAAGCGAAGGGAAAGACGCCACGGTACTGAGGGATGGAAAGTGGCTGTGCGAATTAGCCTTTCTGTGCGACGTAACGAAGCATCTCACTGAGCTAAACCTTCAGCTTCAGGGACGGGACCGTGTGATCACGGACATGTATGACGCAGTGAAAGGCTTTCGAGGAAAGCTGGGACTCTGGGAGACTCAGATTCAGCAAGGGAACTTGGCTCACTTTCCCTGTTGCCAAGCAATTGTCAGCCAAGTCTCCACCGCTGTGTTCTCGCAGGCTCGGTTTGCGGATAAACTGAGCGCACTTCACAGGGAGTTCACACGTCGCTTTGTTGAGTTGGAAGCGCAGGCGTTCAATTTTGGACTGTTTGTTAATCCGTTCTCAGTCGATGTGAAGATAGCTCCCGTGGACCTCCAGATGGAGCTGATCCAACTCCAGTGTAGCGGCACACTGAAGTCCAAGTACGATTCTGTAGGATCCACCCAGTTCACCCGGCTCATCCCTGAAACGATGCCCCAACTCCGCCTACGAGCTGCTCAAATGCTCTGCATGTTCGGTAACACACACCTGTGTGAGAATGTTTTCTCCATGATGAGGGTGAACAAAAGGGCGCACAGGAGTGTTCTCACTCCTGCACACCTCCTCTCTATCCTGAGAGTTTCCACAGCTCAAAACCTAACGGTAAATTTGGATGAGCTTGTAGCCAAGAAAAGATGCCAAACATCCAGCAGGGAGAAAAAGGTACGAAAGAGAGAGAGAACTAAAAAGATTGTGTTGTTTTTTCTTTGTTTTAAATTAGTTTTTGCAGATTTATTTGAAATAATTTATGGGTTCATATTTGAAATGTTAATACTGGTTGGCTCAGGCCTTAGACATAATACACTCCTGAACTAATAAGATACAATAGTCGTACATGCAACTGGCCCTTTGAGGGCAACCATGATGCTAATGTCCTCAATGAAATTGTGTTTGACACTCGTGAACAGACCTCTAACATGGTCGCGCTTTGGAGACTCCCATCACTCTTCTGTTTCATTGTTTTAACATTTGTTCGTCTTTCATCCTTGGATATATTTTAAATTGCAGGGCCAGCGGATGAAGATGGCCAGGGTACCCCCTGACTGTGGAGAAGAACTATCTCATCTCTCTGCCACAACATCTCAGGTAAGGAGCCTCATCTGAGCAGGAAATCCTTGAAGTCCAAAATGTTAGTCTGACTTGTTCAAGCGGTTTCAGTGAAAAGTGATTTACATGAGGTATGGAGTTATTACTCCATCAAAATGGTAGCTTCTGCAAAAAAAAAAAAACGGTTTTCACACAGAAAGAGATGCGACAAAATGGCGTTCCTCTTCAAAGTCTTTCACCGAAATGAATCGTGGTAGGAAGAAATTCTAATCAGACAGATGGATTGTCGGAGAGGCGGGTATCAAACGTATCGTATCAGAAAAGGAGCATTTTCTGTCTTACAGAAATTTACTTTTAGGATATTGGAAATGTGGAAGAGAAAGTTCTGGGATGTCTGTGCTGAGTAACATTTCCTTTGAATTTCAGTGCTCTGTATCCTTTGAGGACGTGGCTGTGTATTTCACGGAGGAGGAGTGGGCTCTGTTGGATTCTAGCCAGAGAGCCTTACACAGAGAAGTCATGCTGGAGAATTCTAGGAATCTGGCTGCTGTGGGTAAGGGCCTGTTTTGATGTGGTTGGATCTGGCCTGCAGAGCTATCCTGGAAAGAGTAAGAGGCCAGTTTTGCTTTGGCCTAGCCCACACTGTCCCGGGGTAAGCACAGGAAGGTGGGCGCATGCACGTATATTCCCGGCTGACCTCATTCTGGCGTATGCACTGGAAGCGGCGGGCTTGCATTATCTCATCCGCCTCTTCCTCCCAGATCAGGGGGGCTCAGCTGGCATCAGCAGCCTGCTCCCACTCTCCGGCCAGTGCCCTGCAATTCTCACCCTCCACACCACAGCCTGCTCTGCACCCAGCAGTGGCCCCTCCAACCGCATCCTTGGAGCTGCCCAGCAGCCATGCCCTCCTCACTGCCTGCCCCAAGCCAACCCTCCATTCCCCATCTGCTTCCCCCGTGATTCTTGCGCTCCCCAGCCTGTTCCGAGCCCCACAGTGTCTGCAACCCCTCGCTCAGGGAGAGGTGGGGAACACTGTAGCCGAGGAGACCTGAGGGTGCGGCTGAAGGGGCTTCCACTACTGGGCACAAAGCAAGCTGGGAAGGGCGAGAATTGTGGGCCATCAGCCAGAGAATGGAACTCTTGGCCGGTCCTCCAGGTGGAGGGCTGGCTCAATGGCGGCCGTGAGGAGGGAGAAGTTGCCATGCAGCCCTGAGGTTAAAGGTCATTTCAGGTGTGTGTGCCGGGGTGGGGGAGGTGTCCGGCAGCAGGGGCTGTGTAGATGGCCGTCCAAGAAGCAGGCATGGCAGCGGCACCGACAGCAGGCACAGTCTTCTTCATCTCCTAGGTTGCCTTACTATCAGCGGCAGTTGCTCATACCATCGGTTTGGACAAAAGGTCCCTCCCTTTATCTCTTGAGTTGAAGATGTATAAGTTCCCCGTAGAGCTCAGAACAAGCAAAAGTAACAGTTGCTGCATTTTTCTGTAATGAACATAATGATTAATTGTTTTTTCTATTTTTGTCAAATCAGGTTATGGACAAGAGCATGAAAATTACCAGGAGCTCAACTTAGCGCTATTCCAGTCTGAAGAAAGGATGCTTGGAATTCAGAGGGTGCTTCAAAAGAATACGAAAAGCTGCCAAAAGCATGGAAGGAAGAAATCTTCTCCTTCAGATCACAATGAAATCCTCCCAGTTCAGCAACTTCAGCAACAACAAGAAGGAAGTGAGAAATATTTTGGGAGTGACATGAAAGAGAGATCGAAATTTGTTTTTAGTAAATATTGTACAGACCAGACTGAAGAGGAACAATATGAACGTCAAGAGTACGGGCAAAATATCAATCTTAGCTCCTCTTTGGCTTTACATCAGCCATCATACAATAGAAATTGTGTAGAAAAATTCACTTTGAACAGTCCTCTTCTGTCAGATGGGGAGGTCAATCCAAATGAGTGTGGAAAGGGTTTCAGCGAGATACAGTTGGTTGTTTGGCCGCCCCAAAATGCCCCGATGGAAAAACCATATCAATGTCTGAAGTGCGGAAAAACCTTCCCTCACAGATGCAATCTTACTGTCCATGAAAGGATGCACTCGGGGGAGAAGCCATACGCGTGCCAGGTGTGTTGGAAAAGATTCCGTCAGATTGGTCATCTTACAAGACATCACCGAATCCACACTGGGGAGAAACCATACATGTGTCTTCACTGCGGAAGGAAGTTCATCGAAAGTTCAGACCTTAGCAAACATGTAAGGAGCCACACGGGAGAGAGACCGTACCAGTGTTTGGAGTGTGGAAAGAGTTTCAAATGTAGCAGTCATTTTATTTCCCATAAAAGGACTCACACAGGGGAGAAGCCATTCAAATGCTCGGAGTGTGGAAAGAGCTTCAGTCGGAACAATCACCTTTCACTACATAAAACAATCCACAGAAGAGAAAAACCAAGTTTGGGAGCTTCCATCGCAAGTGCCTTCTAAACACACCAGAAATATGTTGACATTCAGTTCAAAAGGTCGTCTCATCCGATCAAAATGAATCCACGTTGGAGAACCATAAAAACGCCTGAAGTGTGGAAATGAGTTAAAAGGTGTCACTGTCCTTATTTCCCTTAGGAAAGCCTATGAGGATGGACAAACCTTCGATGCCAATAGTGGTCATTCCCTCCCTCCCCCAAGAAAATATATATATATATATATGGGTTTGGATGAACTTAATGGATGCTAAACTTGTGGACTAAAGAGCTGGTCCATACAGGAGTGACAATACCTCAAGAAAAGGAGTAAAGCTATTTTAAGAGGACGTGTCATCTTAAATACCATAAAATTTAGCACCAGCAGGAGCAAAAGCAATTTCTGTGTGTGTGTATACATATACATACACACACACACACACACACACAATGACAAGGGTTATTAAAAATTCCACTCGGGGAAAAAAACTGCATAAAAGAGAAGAACGTGGAGAGGATTGGTGATTTTTTTTGCCTAGGGCACCATCAACAAATTATGAGCCCCTTTCCACGTTGTTAGACCAATTTGGATTATTTTTCCTGATCCAATCAGGGACTGTTGTATTGGAGAGTGACAAGGATGATATGGTTGTTGAGATTTCAAGTCCCATGAAAACAGACTGAGGCTGGTGGGTCTGTTTAGCCTTGCAAAGAAAGTGACTTAAGAAGTTTATAATATCCCTGTAGAAGCATCTCCCAGAGGAGACAGGAAAGATTTCTCCTATCGTGTGGAATAAACATAGTAGAATCAGGTTTAATGTTACAAAAATTGTGATAGCGATGAAACTGTCAAATACTCAACCACTACCTCTGTTGACAACCCTCCCTTAATAAAAACAGGAAAAGACTTCCTCCTTTCCAGAAATCCTCATTTTATGCAACTTGGTAAAAATTTCCTACACTGTTTGTCCTTTAATTTCACAATGAAATATCAGATTTTTTCTGTTCTAAGAACTGGGTGGTATTTGCTTAGCAACTCTTTGAATTTCCAATGGACCCTTCCCCAAAATATAATTATGAACCAGTTCTGGATTTGGAATGGCGGCACACACCAGTTGGAACAGAACCGGAAGAGACCTTGGAGATCATCTAGTCCAACCCCCTTGCTCAAGCAGGAGATATTCTACCCTTGATAGAGAACCTGTGGCCCGTGTGTCACAGGTGGCACACGGAGCCATTTGTGCGGGCACACGAGCCCCAGCCAAATTTGCCTGCACTGTGCAGGCACACGCCTCCCAGCTGACTTTCGTCCTGTTTGAGGCTGTTTTTGCCCTCCCGGAGGCTCAAGGGAAGCCTCTGCAGACTGAGGAGGCCGAAAAATGGGCCTTCTGGGAATACCAGAAGTGCCGAAACGGGCCTGTTTTCAGTCTCCAGAGGTTTCCGTCGAGCCTCCGGGAAGGCGACAACGGCCTCAAACAAGTTGAAAATCAGCTGGGAGGCATGTGCAGTGCTGGTAAGGGGGTGGGGTGGGGGTGTTGTGCATGCATGCACAGGGGGTGGGGTGCATTGCATTGTGGGTGCTGGCATGCATGCTATCTCTTGCGCTTTTGGCACACCACAACAAAAAGGTTTGCCATCACTACCAGGGGTGGGATTCTCCCAGTTCACACCTATTCACTAGAATCGGCTGTTAACATTCTAAGCAGTTCAGAGAACCAGTTGTTAGAAGAAATTACTGGCCTAATCCTGTAAGGAAGGCAGGAAGGAAACATTCTGGTGTTGCTTACAGAAACTGCCTCTCGGTTAACCCTTATTGCATTCTTGAGCAGGACTAGACTTCCTGTCTCTGTAACTTCTCTGGAGTTTTTTTTTCCCCTCCTTTGCTGGTACTTTGCTTGTGTGGAGTGACCATTCAAAGTTACAATGGCCCTGAAAAAAGTGACTGATGACCATTTTTCACACTTACAACTGTTGCAGCATCCCCACAGCCACAAGAGGCCAGGCAAGGAGATGCGTGCCTCGATGTGAGTGATGTTGAGTTGGCCATGCCCAGCCAGTCACATGGCCACCAAGCCATGCCCACCCAGTCACATGACCACCAAGCCACACCCACAGAACCAGTTGTTAAAAAATTTGAATCCCACCCCTGCATTGTACTATACCATTTCAGACAAGTGACTGTCCAATCCCTTCTTAAAAACCTCCAGTGATGAAGCACCCACAACTTCTGAAGGAAAACTGTTCCACTGGTTAATTGTCTTCGCTGTTAGGAAGTTTCTGCTTAATTCTAAGTTGCTTCTCTCTTTGATCAGTTTCCGTCCATTCTTTCTTGTCCTGCCCTCTGGTGCTTTGGAAAATATATGACTGCATTTCAGGCCCTGGGCAACTGCTTCACCTTTACAGCTGGTTATGTCGTTCTATGTTCATATGATACAATTTATGGCTTTTTTTTTTTTTTGCTGGGAACCAGACTTAAAAAGTTTCCGGCAAAATAACGCCCATTGGAACACATCGGTTTTATTTTAACTACCATGGCCTTTGCTTTTACAAGTGCTGCAAAAAAAAAAGGCATAAAATCCAGTTGCTCATGTGTG